ATATCAGGTGCCAGGGTACATTCACTTTATTTGCATTTATTTATTTATTTATTTATTTATTTATTTATTTTTCAAATTTATACATGATGCCCATCTCACGATACAAGTGACTCTAGGCAGCGTATATATCTATATCTATCCATCTGGGTCACTTGAGAATTCGAAAACCTTTCTTTGCTGTTTTTTAACATGAGCTTGAGCACTATGAGCTTGAGCTTGACTCAGAAATCGTTGCTTGTATGTGATATTAATTATCTAATATCATATAATTATATTAATCTAATTAACAGATTAGTAATAATCTAATATAATAATTATTAATTATTAAATATCAGAATGAAGGATTCTTATTTTGACACATGTAAATCTTTGTACTAGGTACATATATAAAATAGATTACTAACAGAAAACTAATTTAGTAAATAAGCAGGAGCTGTCCCAGCTAGATGACTAGATTTCCTTGTTGAATCCTGTCTTCTAGTTATGGCCATTTCCCCCATTTTCTCCACTTGGAAGTAATAGCTTTCACAGTTGGTTAACTTCATTGCTCCTTAGAATTTTTCTTTCAGTAATTGCAACTACAATACCCATATTCAGTAATGGCCCAGGGGGTTTACGTGGACATCTACCCATTCACAGACATGCCACTAATACAGGCATGCCACTGAAGCTCACATTCCCGCCCATGGGCATCTGTAGCTCTGGCTGTTTTCTTCAAAATGACAAAAGCAGCGTCATCACACTGTCACCCCGCAAGTTCTGCCCTTTTGGAGATATCCCAACACATGTATAAAAGAGGCAGAGCTGGTGTCACAATGTCACAGTGCTGCTTTCATCAGACTGCCTGACTTGATACCCTCCCTCCCCCCCCATGCATATAATGAGACGGATACTTAGTCATGCTCACTCCCTCAGCATGATTGAGTAGGATCGCTGGGAGAAGCAAAGCTTTGTTATAAATTGTTGGCTCTCTGCTCAAACCAGTGACTTTGAAAAGGTTTAGCAAGAGGAAGGACTTTTTCCTTTCCACCCACGAACTCACCATACATCAGTGGGAAAACTAGCAAACTCATCAGCCACCAAGCCAGCAAAGCAGCCACAACCTCTCTGTGGTTGAGTTACACATCCCTGCTTTAATACCCCCAGAATTAGGCATTGCCACCCACCACTTTAGCAGCTCTGGACAGCTTACACAATACGATAAAAACAATAATAACACCATCCTTAAAAAGAAGAAATCTAAATGCTAAACACATAACAGTAAAACCCTAAAATGTTTGTTTATTTATTTACTTATTTATTGTGACCATTTCTATACCATCCTACTTCTAGAGACTCAAGGCAAATTACAGTATTAGAAGAAATAAAGTCAACAAATGTGGAAAAAAGTAGTCCTTTACAGAAATAGCCAGCATCAATCATCTTATTGAAAACTTGTCAGAACAATATAATATTTATTGCTTCACAAAAAGCAAGCAAAGTGTTCCCTAGTATGGGAGTAAGTATGTTTCAACCCATTCCTAATTAATAGGAAACAGGCTTTCTTCAACTCCAGCAATATCCATTAATATTGGCCCCACCACCGGAAAAGCCAAATCAGCTGTTTAATAATTGTATTTATGCCCCATTATTAACTTAAACGATGGTGAACTATACAAGAATAGTCACTCCAATAAGTAGCTTGGTCTCAGCTATGTAAGACTTTATATACCCTTGTGAACATTTTGAATTCGCCTCACAAGACAGCCAGCAAGAAGTGAAGCTGTTTCAACTGGCGGGTGGGGGGGCGTGGGCGTATTGTGGACAACCCATGCTTCTATGTTCTGACCAGCAACAATTTCTGGACCACTTTCAAGCACTGCCTAAAAACAGCTTTACAATTCTCCAACCTTGAGATTATCACATGACTCACCCAAACCAGGTCTTTCTCCTTCAGGTAGGAATGCACCTGGTTTATCAGCAAATGGTGATAAAAGGCCCTCCTTGTCATTGAAGTTAGGTGACTGCCAAACATCAGTGCTAGATCCAAGGGAAGCCCCAGATCCTTAAAGGAGAGTATAGCCCTATCTAGAACAGGAATCAGTAGCATCTTATTGGTGTTTAGTTCAGCTCTGTCACATCTAGTCCCTTGCAATTTAGAGACACTTTTCCTTCACTTCTCCTGTAACTGAGATTGGAATACTACTTTGTAATATCATCACAGAGGTTCTGCTGCAATTCATGTTTGTGTTTAAAAATATAACAGGGAAGCTGAGAAAGCTGTGCAATTTATCATGCAGAGTAGCAGATTTATATTTTTTATTACTGTCAGATATCCTCATCAAAGAAGCATTGTACAAAAGAAAATTAGAAACCTGCTGCTTGAGGAGGGAGAAAGCATACTGTGACTTTATCATATACGTATATTTCAGGCTCGCTATCGGCATGCTTTCTCCTGAACTCTTACACTTACTTGCTATGTGATGATCAGACACTATACTAATAAGAGAGGAGCAATGGTCATACACATAGTAAAGAAAATATATTTCCCTAAATGAAAGCTAGAACTATTTCTAAACCTGTTTAATCGTTTGAGAATGGCGTATGGTTATGTTTTTTCAGCTTTGGAAACTCTGAATGGACTAGTACTAAGTATTACTTCCACTGCATTATCTTTACTGTCTTTTGCAGATGGGCAAGGAGGTAAAACCTCGGACACGTTTTGTTCCAGGAGTCAAACATCACACTAGTTCTGTCCTAACCATTCACAACGCAGACTTGAATGATCAAGGGCTATACGTATGCGAGGCCATTGACACCTATCATGTACAAAAAGAAGAACGGAGTATCTCTGTCAGAGTGATCGGTAAGTTGGGTGAAATCTTTTTCTCGTCACCAGCCTGACACCAAATCTTCCTGAAAGAACCTTTATGGCTTTCTGCATTTCAGTAGTGCATAGTACTGATTTTCATAAGCAAAATTGGAAAAAAAATCCCCTTTCAATTCATTCCAACTGAAAAATAATAATAATAATGCATAGATCAGTTTATCAGTATTATTTTGCTTTGTTTAAACACAGATTTGCTACAAGACTATAAACAAAAAGTGCAATGCATCTCTGTAAAAGTTTTGTATTTTGCTCCAGGTTTCAGCTAATGTTTTTTTCAGGAAAAAGCATAGATTCCATAAGTGGCATAGGAGGTTTTAAAATTTATCTAAACTGGGATTGTGATAAAAACACTGATTTTCTTTCAGAAAACCTTGTGTGATGGTTATGTCAAACTCCAGACTAAATTGCTCGCAAAAATAGCAAAACAGTCTTTTCCTTATTAGTTTCTTCATAATTTTGTTCATTCAGAAACATTGAGAAATATTTGCTTGCAGTCTTTCTCAAAGTCACACTTCATGTTCGAGGGGAGCTAAAGAAAATCAAGGAATTCCTAGACAAAAGCCTGGTTTTGACATGAGGTCTGCTTGGTGTCATTGCTCTCTCTGGAACAAGCCACCAAAAATAAACATGGCCTAATGTTTTGCACACCAGCTTGTTCTCCGCTAAGGAGCAGGAGACATTTTTTTTCTTCCTACTCTGGGGAAGAAAACAGATATTCCAGGTGTTCTGTTACTAACCACTCTGGACCAGTTCAGCATTGTAAGGAGGAGGAGTCAGAAAGAAGCCTCAAACTTGGTGCACTTTTTACTTCAGTGAAAAAGAAGGTAGTCTGGAGGTACACTACAAAGCTTCTCATCTTTTAAAACTGCAGAAAAGCAGTGATGAGGTATTCCTGTTCTGTGAATAAGAATTAAAAAAAGAAGCTCATCCTGACATTTATAGAGTTAAGTAGCAATGCTGTTCCCTATTCTTCTCACAAGTTCCATTTAGCAAAAGTCTGGCACTTACTTTAGATGTTTTTTTTTTTTTTTAAAGTCATAGTTGCTTATAGGTTAAGCCCAGGTTATTGCTTTTTTCCTACTGATCCAAGTGGAGAATCAGGAAGTCGTTTCTCCTTGAGTAACCCTTCTGTGAATATATCCATAATTCTGTTCATATGAAAGCAAGTTCTTTAATAATTGTTTCATTTTTGCTTTAACATTTTAATAATTTAAGCAGACATTTTTCTTTTAGTTTGGCTTACTTTACTGGACTATACCCAAATATCTCAGAGTAGTTGGCAAAGGATCTTAGTTAGGATTTGACTTCAAGGGTCCTCTCTTAAAATATCAAACACAGGTTACAGTTCTTCTAAATTAAGATAGTAATGTTAAGCTTCAATTTGAGGTTCTTTCTTTAAAACACATGATTTTATGCTGCTTATTAAAATAGTCAATTAGTGCTAAAACAGGGAACCATTTTACTATCCTCATCATTAACTCATAGTGTGAAACAGAAGATGCTAATATAGATCCATCTGTGACTTTTCAATTCACCCTTTCTGACCTAGAGCATGGCTTTGTGATTTTCCACTCTGTTCTGAATGAGACCGTGTTTGCAGAACTGCACAAAAGTCACACCTTTCTGGTGGAGATCGAAGCCTATCCAAGTCCAACCATCCTCTGGTTTCAGAATAACAAGACCCTGACGTCTAAGAGCAACAGTGAATTTGCTATCAACAGAAGGAATTTGTCAGAAACCAGGTAAACTGTTCCACCTCAACATTTTTGTACCTGCAGCATTAAGCCATTTATTATTTTTAATTGACATATACATCATGTAGAGGTACTCATCCTTCCTGTGTTAAGAAAAATGTATTATTACTAATGGATTTTTTAAAACTTTGCACCTGTATGGAAAAAGTTGATGATAATAATAACAACAACAGTAGCCCCTAGTGAGGCACTACCTTGACATGGTTGTGGGGCTTGCATGCTCCAAGAAGGATGAGAGCTAGGCCATTGGTTCAACCACACTGGACAGTCTCATCAGAGGAGCCAGGCAAAGATGCCTCTCCCATAAACAATATGGTGAGACATAATTTACAGAAACCTACAGGACTGGTCATCACCTGGGTCAACGAGGACCATGCTAGGTGCTCTAGTTCCCGGACATCTGGTGACAAGTGGTCACAAAGCTACAGGACTCAGAACTATTGGCTGAGTAACCCGGTCCAGCAGCTGCAGGACTACTGGAAGAAAAATTGTTTACCCGTCGCAAATATACAAAGACTGAAAACAAAGAAATAATGATCTGCTATTACAAACAAGTCCAATAAGAAGAGGATATCTGAAAAGAATTTACCAGTCCTGGAAAGAACAACACCCAGAATCAGAAATAACAGAACAGAATCTAGAAGATCAATGTCAATTTATAATACGAAATAAAGTACTCACAGAAGTAGAACTGGAAGAATTGCAAAGGTCTATCCAGGGCAAAGAAACTGAAGCCTTGTCAGAAGTAGCTTAGACTGTAGAGGCAAACTAGGGGGAGTCAGCAGTAGAGGAAGCCAGCATAGCTATTGAATCATTTTCATTCCCAAACCAGGCACCTTCTCCTCTGTCTCCTCCTCAGAAAGAACAAAGCCCTTTAACTAAAAAGCAAGAGGAATTGAAACAAAGAATAACTGAGCACCTAGAACAGCACAAAAACAACAGAATAAGGTTGCCTGTAGTGAAGCTTGTTACAAAGAAACAGCACAAGTATTAAAAGATGTCAGTACTGTAATATAAAATATGAGCACCAGCTTACTGCAAGAAACAAATGAACTAATGTACAGCATGGTTGTAGTTACAATTGAATACCTTGGATTCAAAATCAACAAACAAGAAAAAAAGCGAAAAGTGCACCACCAAAATAGAAGATCAGGTTGGAAAATAAGGTCAGCATGCTAAGATCAGATGCAAGCAAGCTAGAACAGAGGGAAGAAAAAAAGCTGAAGAACAAGACGACCAATAATACCTGATCAAGAAATATCACCTAGAAACAAGGAAGATCAAAGAAGCACTGGAAATAATAAAGCAGCAAATAACAGCCTGAACAAGACGACCAATAATACCTGATCAAGAAATATCACCTAGAAACAAGGAAGATCAAAGAAGCACTGGAAATAATAAAGCAGCAAATAACAGCCTTAGCCGAAAAGATCAGCAGATACTAAACTTGAATTGCCTAACATAGGCAGAATCTCCAATTTCAGTTGAATCAGAAACATTTCTACCAATCCATCAGTGGAGAGATTGCAGTGAACCAGTGAAAAGATCCAACAAAAGAGGCAGCACCAGGCAACTACAGGCCAATTATCTGCTTACCTACAACTTTAAAATTGCTAACTGGTGTTGTACAGTAGTTGATGAAGTCCAACAGCATCTAGTTGAAAACAAGCTCTTTCCACCTGAGCAGAAAGGAAACCAACCAAACAGCAGAGAAATAAAAGAACTAATTGGCAAGATGATTTTGGAAAACTGCAAGAGAAGGAAGACCAAACTGAATGTAGCTTGGATTGATTCCAAGAAGGCTTCACAAGACCAAGCCTTAAGAACAAATGCATATAAAGCTAGAACTGAGAAGACAGCAACAAACAGAAAATGCCACCTCTGCAAGGAAGTTGAAGAAACAGTAGACCACCTAGTTAGATGCTGCAAGATTGCACAGACTGACTACAAACAATGGCATGACAAAGTAGCAACAATGGTGCATTGGAATATCTGCAAGAAATACCATTTGCCTACATGCAAGAATTGGTGGGACCACAAT